CTCTACATTCTAAACTCCTTCCCTACAAACTCTCTCTACACTCTAAAGTCCTTCCCTTCCTAGGAATTTCTTGCCTACAAAACACAACACAAACAAAATTACCAGAACAAAATACTGTGGATGCTGGAAATCCCAAATAAGAACAGAAAACGTTTCTGAAGGCCATTCAGCTAAAACGTTCATTGTCTCCACAGATAATGCCTGAGCTGTGGAGAATTTCCAGCAGCTTATTTTCTATTGCAAATAAATGAATTAACTAATAAATAAAATGGGCTTGAGAATTTTCAAACAAGTGGAATATTGTTCAAGCGGAGTTGGTTTTTAAAGGAATTTTTATATGCTTATCATGCACATCTTGGGCTGAGGTAAAGCTTTTGTAATGGCACCAACAAAAAGATTCAAATAAAGGCAAAATACTGTGGATGCTGGATATCTGAAACAAACACAGAGAATGCTTGTGAAACTCATTAGGTAGACGGCCTAAGCAGAAAATGAGGTGTTGTTACTTGAGTTTTCATTGTATTTCATTGGAACAGCCTTGAGGTCTCGATATTGAATTCAATAACTTCAGAAACTGATTGTGAGAAAAATGGAGAACTGACATAAAACATTCTTCTCTCCCTTACACTCCTTCCTCATAGCCATGTCATGTTTGTGTCTTGTTTACTTTGCTCTTAGTAAGAAGGACCAACTTTCTCCCTTTCACACCAATTTACACACTTTGTTTTCTTTCCCTACTGTTAAAAAGACCACGTGAGAGTCAGCCACATTGCTATGGGTCTGGCCCTTTGCATCTATATCATTTACCCTTTTGCTCCTCTTCTACCTGTGTCAGAAGTATAAAAAACCTATTTTCCTTCACCTTTCAGTTCTGAAGAAAAGTCATACCAGACTTGAAACATTAACTGCTTCACTCTCCAGACATGCTTCCAGAACTGCTGAGTTTCTCCAGCACTCTCTGTGTTTGTTATCAATAAAATAACCTCTATCTCAAAATCCATTGCTCTGCCATCTTAGTTTGACCTGCAGTCCTTGAATCGAACTTCTGTCATGATCTTCATTCAGTCTCAGATGGCACCGAACCCCTCCTGCCTCAACCTGGCAATGCCCTTTTACACAGGGTCAGTATTGGTGAATGGGAGACAGCAGCCAGGACCCTGGGTAAAGCCAGCCTTGGCAACTGCACAGTGATTGGATGTGGCAGCTACGATTATACCCGCTCCCCTTGGGCCATGCCCCAGGAATAATCCAACACAATGTTGTCACTTCAGTTCCATCCCTGTGAAACTGGAGAGCGAGCATGATGCGGCTTTCCACTGGCTCCCAGCTCAAACGGCAACCGGGGCCCAATTTATTGTAGCACTGTGTTTGCCATGTTAATAGGGGCCTGGATCAGGCAGATATGTTAGACGCCCAAAGCCTGGCCCCTTTCAAAATGAACAGCACTTGAAATGGAGCTCCCTCTGAAGAACTACTTCAAAAATATCGAGCAAAAAGAGCTCACCCAATTCCCTCCAGTATGTGTTTTGTTTTCACTTCTTCACACGAGGTAGAATTTCAAAATAAGACACAAACACAAAACATTATTCTGTAACACCGAAATGATAAACAAAAATGTTTGACAGCTGTTTTGAGGAGTCCCGTTAAATAGTTTGTTTCTCTTGTATACCTACATCATTTCCTCTGTCAAACATCCTTTAACTTTGTGAAAATTAATTTGAAAAGCGAAAGGTTGTGTATTCAGGGGTCAATATCCAGCACCTGTTTGTCCAGAGCATGGCGGTTAAAAGGACTGATGGGAAATGGTCTGGGGCTGGCTTCCTTCAGTGGCTCACGAGGTGAACAGTTCACAAACTCAACCATAAAGACAAATGGGCTATTGGCTATGAGCTCAAGCAGAACGACGTTACAGAAGAATGGAAACTGTGCTGTGTAGTTGTATTGAGAGCCCTGGGTGGACTCTGCTGGGTGTATGGTGTTCAGACTTGGATGCTGCACTCAGGAAGCATGGACTGATCATGGACTCAAATTCACCAGAATGACATCAGCAGTAAAATGGATAAATTATAAGGTCAGGTTGCAAAGATAAGGTATCACTTTTGTATCACTCTGAAAGATTTAGAAACTAGTTGTTTTTTTTTAATATTGGAAGGATTTGCTGGCGTAGACAGAAAGATGATATTTCTTCCTCTGGGGGAATGGAGGACAGTGGGACCTAATCTTAAAGTTAGAGCTAGGCCAGTCCTGCAATCATGTCAGTAAGAACCTCATCATTCAAAGGAGAGGGGGAATCTCTTCCCAAAGAGGGTGTGGATGCTAGAGGCCGATTGGAGCTTTCAAGTCTGCAACTGAGAGTTTTTTTTAATTGAAATAAGGACATGAAGGGATATTGAAATGAGTAGGGTACAACAGACGAGCCATATCTATTTAACAGATCAGGTCAGAGGGGATAACAGGCCCATTCTTGTTTTCTAATGAAGTACAGGTCCCATAGAAACAGCTGTAGGTTATTCTGAATACTGGACCCCACCTCACAGTGTGAAAAAGGCTGCTCTTTGAACACTGTCAGCTCATTTTCTCCTCCCTCCCAACGAATATTACAATTAAAATAAGTATTTTGCCAAATCATTAATAATTCCATCTCCTTCGAACGGGGACAGAATGTTCTGGGGTTAATCGCATTCACCTGTATAACTACTTCGCCTGAGGGAAATTGATGTGGAAATTCTCAGCAACGATATCATCGCTTGTGTGAAAACAGGCTTTCTACTTCAAGGTGACCCAAAAACACACTTTCTTTACCCCAGTTTCTTTTTCTTACCCCCGATCTGTGCTTCCTTTCTCTTTTGGAGGCTGGTTGAATTGCTTTAGAACCTATACTAATCACATGCGGGTTTGCTTTATGACATGATGGAAGGGCTGGCCAATGGTGTTTTGGAATGGGGGGGGGGTGCAGTTGGTGATAGCTGAGGGTCACCGGTTGACGGGATCCTCTATAAACTGGTAGCTGGCCAATGGGCCTGGGGAGAAAGGCTCATTGAGTTTCTGCTGTTCCCTGGTAATGGGCACAGAGTCCGTCACCGAGGGAAACGAGAGATGATCGTGGTCCAGAATGTTTCGTTCATCTTCCAGCTTCTCTTTCTTCAAGTAGAAGATCCTTTTAAATTCTTTCAGCTTCTGCAGCTCACAGAAGGTTTCCAGGGCAACAAGCACAGCGGTGAGGCCAAACATGAGGTACACTAGAGAGAGAGAGAGCAAGTGACAGAGACAGGCACATTAGTTATTTTTAGATGCAATTAAGTACGGATGATTGAAACACGGCTTGGAATAAAATTGTTCTTTTCCCCTGAAATGCTCGTCAATCACTGTCATTTACAGCCTCTGGGTCTCAGACTGGATATTCTGCGGGGGGCTGCCTCTTACATCTGGAGGCTCAGTGCTCTTCCAGCATCTATCCAAAGCCATGAGTCAGGAGTGTAATACAGTGCTCCCCACTTGCCTGGATGAGCACATCTACAACAAGTTCAAAACCACCCAGGAGACAGCCATTTGTCGGATCACACAGTTAGACTAGCATTACATAGAGGGACAGCACAGAAATAGGCCACTCAGCCCTAACTGGTTACAGCCAATTTTCACACAATACAGGAGCCTTTGGCAATTCCTCAAGCTGCATCAGCACAACCTTACGATCCTTTCTCCTCCATGTCAAGGTATACCAATTCACTTCATTCACCCACTGTGTAGAAGCAATAAGCCTACAGTGGTATTTGGATTATTTAAAAAAAGCTTTAAAAAAATGATTCATTCATAACATCTCTACGATAAAAAATCCCTTCTATGAAAACAACAAGAATGTCAATCATTCAGACTCTTTGAAGTCTTCAGTACCTGAGAACACAAGGCGCTGTGCAAACAAACATTGCGCAAACTGATCAAGATCAAACAGCCAGAGCTGTCAATCAGACAGGGGCTCGGGAGTTTCAGCAATCTAATGAGAATTGGCTAACAGCACAACAAACAGAGATGAGGCTTGTCTGACAGCCTAAACATAGAGAGTTGAAGCTCCCTGAACCCCAGCTTGTTGACAGCTCTGGCTGCCTGATCTCTGCTATCAATTTTACCTTGTTTGCTAAGCCAATTAGATTGAAAGAAGGATATGCGCAGGATGCCCAGAAATAACAGGGCTTGGGTGAATCAGATTGATTTTTCACAATATGAAAGGGACAGGATGGGCTAAGTGCATCCCTTAAGTGCTGTCACTTTCTAATTTTATTCATAATCAACTCACTTTGAATGGATATTTTATTTACACTTCAAAGGGCAACAATGCTTTGGCTGAATGCCATATCAGAAAGACAGTACTTGCAAAAGTACAACATTCCTTCAGTACTGACCCTCTGACAGTGCGGCACTCCCTCGGTACTGACCCTCTGACAGTGCGGCACTCCCTCGGTACTGACCCTCTGACAGTGCGGCACTCCCTCGGCACTGACCCTCTGACAGTGCGGCACTCCCTCAGTACTGACCCTCTGACAGTGCACGCTCTGGTGCCAATGGTAGTGGGGAGTGAACTCAGCATTTCAGGGATGGTGATGGTTCGGTGTTAATTATTGATCCCAGAGAAAATACCAGCTCTTTAAGTTATGGCAGGATCTGGCTGAGACCACCTGCCACACATACTGACCAGTTATTCCGAGCTTGTATAGCTCACGGAACTGCTGATGGTGCACCTCACCAGGAACGTAGTCTCCCAGGCCAATGGTGCTGAGGGAGATGAAGCAAAAGTAAATGGATTCCAGAAAGTTCCAGTCCTTTTCCAATGTGGAGAAGATGGCCGCTGGGATGAAGAAGAAGCAGGAGGTGACGATCAGCCCTAGGAGGATGGCGTGGACCAGAGCCACGGTCTGCTCGGCATAACCCCAGCGAGTGTGGATATACTGGACTGGCCGCCTGCTGACATGGACCATGAGCCGCTGGACAATGGAAGTGAGGAACAGCAGTGTAAAGGGAATGCCCATCAGCGAATAGATGATGCAGAAAGCCTTGCCACCATCAGAGAGTGGGACCGTGTGACCGTAACCTGCAACAAGAACATTTCATAACTGCAGTTGGCCATCCAGTCAAGAGGGCAACTGAATCCACCAGAGAGAGCAGAACATCTACTGCTTCTTTCATTCAACAGTCAACTACTGCCTGTGGCTACACCATCTTCCTTTCTCCCAGTACTTAATCCCAAGGTGTCAATCAGGATTTCCAAAGTCCAGCATCAGGCCTTCCCGCTCTGGCAGCACATTCCAAAACTGCCCCTCCCTCCAGCACCTTGAAGGGTACCTGGGGTTCTGAGGCACATGATGTACCAGGGTCCTCACCCATACAGTCATTGGCAACCCAGGAAAATAGGCAAAAAAAACCCAGAGGGGTTTCCTGGCAATGCCGTTTACACCCGGGAAAACACTCCGAGCAAGTACTGCAGCCTAGGAAAGGAGGATGAAGGGGGTCCAACATTTGATTGTTGGGGGATGGGGGTTTTGATTTCGAATGTGTCGGCAATAAATGCTGATGGCGGAGGGTGAGACTGGTCGGCTGGCCACCATGGTAACCAGGACAACCGTGCTGTTCTCAGATGGCCATGTTTGTGCAAGCTGAGCTCTTTCTATATGCTGGAGACATGGGGCCATCCAGACAGACCCCTCGAAAATTGCCCCTTTCAGGTGTAGCCACACTTGCTCAGACTTTTCTGTGACCCCTCGACTATCATTCTATGCTGTACCTCTGTAACACCACAGCCAATTAAGCACTGTCTTTTTCTGTCGCGCAAAAGTGGATTTGCGCACAGCAACATCCCGCAAACAGCAACTGTTTGGGGAAGTGTTGGCCAGATCACCTTGTAATCAACTCCTCTGGTCTCCTTTGAAATACTGGGTAAGGGAGAAGAGCAAGTCTCGGTTCAACTCTTCACCTGGGAGATGGCATCTCTGACAATATGGCACTCCTGCCAAACTACACTCAGGTTTCTAAAAGGTGACTTGGACCCCGTGACCTTTAACCCAGAGGGCAGAGGAGTGTGGCCAACGAGTGCTGGAAATGGCAGTAGGGAGTTGGATAATTGTCTAAGTTGATTCTAGTAACCTTGGCTCTATTAAGGCATTAATCCCACTCCAACAGTACGCCAACATACACTGTCTCTGATCGATATAGAACTGTGCCTTTACCACTCCAGCTGTGTACATCTTTGTCCAAGAAAACTCCATCAGTATAAAATGAGCCCTCCATCTTATCAGTATTTACATTTAGGACAATTAAAATTTTGAGCCAATAATGTCATCTTAATGAGTGTACCAGAACACAGGAATATCCACTACTTGTTCATACCAAGGTCCAGCAACAACTCCCATCACCCATGTTTTCAGTTCCCTTCACAGCCCGTCTCTCTCTCTCTGTAATCTTCACTTATCTATAACCTGTTCTAGTTCCACAGACTTCCGAAATGTTTCTGCTCCTAGAATTCCGGCCTCCTCTCTATCCCAAGTTTAATTGCTGCAGATTGAGGGTTATAAAATCATGAAGGGCATAGATAAGGTGAATAACAAAGGTCTTTTCCCCAGGGTAGGGGAGTTCAAAACTAGGGGGCATATTTTTAAGGTGAGGGGAGAAAGATTTAAAAGGGACCTAAGGGACAACTTTTACACATTGAGGGTGGTTTGTATGTGGAAGTGGTAGATGCAGGTACAGTTGCAACATTTAAAAGACATTTGGACAGGTACATGGATAGGATAGGTTTAGAGGGATAAGGGCCAAACATAGGCAAGTGGGACTAATTTTGTTCAGGAACATGGTCTATTTCCACGCTGTATGACTCTATGACTCTATTAGCAAACCTGCTGCAATGCTTATCGTGATGTGAAGATTGAGCTAGAGTTACTAAACGGACTGACTGATGTGGACTCCAGGCTGATTGTTCTGTTCAAACCTCAGGGAGTAATGTGTTGTCTGAGGTACTGTCTGTGACGGTGGGTTCATATGCCCTCTGAGGTAGCTGGAAACCAATCTATCAGAGCAAGGCATTCTCCCTACTGTCCTACCCAGCAGTCCATCTTGTAATAAACCAGTTTGTGCCATGGTGATCAACTGTGTTAGGCATCACCTATCGCGGCTTAGGAGACATCCCCCCCCGACCCCAACTCTGACATGGTAACCTCTGCTGCAAGGAAGACAGTGGGGTGAAAAATGTACAATTTGTCGGTCTCTCTTTTCTCGAGATCCCTTCTTGGCCAGCTGAGTATTTTTCTTTCTGTTTGCCTTTACTAATACCCTTCCAAACAGTCAACTTTCTGAGCTCACTGTCATCGACACATGCCTTCTAGCTTTCAGTGTCGATGTCCCCAGTTGTCATATCCCAATTACAGGTGTGGCTGTAACAGAGGTATGGATGCCAGGATTATGACCTATAAACAGCTCATTGAACAAGGATTCTTTGGGTGTGACATCTTACAATACGACATCTTATCCACCTGAAGGACGTCACTGAGCCAGTACAGCTGTTGCTCGCTTTGTAATGAGTGTGTGCTGATGGAATTAATGATCGGAGTTAGAGACTTTGCAATGCTAAGAGATGCCAAACAGATATGTCTGAGATAACAAAGGTGGAGCCTGTTCAGCCTTTTCTCTTATTTAGCATATGTTATCTAGGCGTCACTACTGTCAAGGAACACGTTGAGTGCACAGGCTGGGTGGACTCAAACTTGGTGTTCTGAGTCAATTTGCTGCTGTTCCACACTCTCAGTCAACTTGAACAACTGCTGCTTTTGTGAAACGTGTTGATTTCAGCATCAATTGACAGATCGCTCGTGATTGCAGAACCTAGATATGTGAAGCTGTCATAGATAACATCCAGTGTCACATTGTCAATGCTGATAGACAGTGATATAGCAGCATCCCAGACATTCACCTTCCTGAGGCTGATAATGACATCAAAATCTTTACAGTTGAGAGAATCTGCCCATTTGCCGCTGTGCTCATCGGTGTATCACAATACTCTGAGGGCTTGGTCCATCTTTGTTCTGGACTTCAGGTGAGCAAGACTGAATTGCTGTCTGTCCTCTCTAGCCTGCTGGGAATCCCATGAACCTCGAAGGATTCCAATGCTCTGATACCCATCATGTTTTGTGGACAGAGGAGATCACATTGAGCAACTTCAGCGTGCAGCCAATTTCTTCAACAACTAGTATGGGCCACCTTTATCCCTCAACCCTCACCACAGAAACAGTTTCTCTCATTGCGGTTTGTGTGAGTTTGCTGCATGTAAATTGGCTGCTATGTTTCCGACTTTACCACAGTAACTACACATCAAATAGAGGACTTCATTGGCTGTAAAGTACTTTCGGGTATCCTGAGGTAATGAAAGGTGCTATATAAATTCTCTTCCTGAACTTGTGTAACTAACAGTCTGAGTAGGTAGTGCCAGCAGTGTATTGTATGTTACTATTTTCAGCTTCAAAGACTATGCTGACCCGTTGGACCAACTACAACCTTATAAATAATTCATTGGCTTTCAAGAGCACTGGGTCAATACAAGGTCAGCCAAGGAACAATATACATACAAGTTCTTGCTTGATAGACGGCCAGTTACAGCGTGTCAAATCTGACTGAAGGTCAGAAACAGTGGAGAGACTCAACTATTGGCTATAAACTTGAAAGGTCTCAGCAGCACAGTAGAAAATGGCCAGTTCTTTACATAGTAATCACTTTCAGCTTTAAAAATACACGACGATGAACTAAATAAGAGCCTGTTTGAGTAAAATGTCTTGGTCAACCTCAGGGAAGACTGAGGGGTAAAGGAGGAGGATGAGAGTTGCGGGAAGGGGATTTGTAGAGAAGGAGGCATTGGGATTGGAAGGGGCTAATTGTGAGTGAGAAAAGGGAAGGGTAGGTTCTAGGCCCTGAATCTAGAGAATCCACAATCTGTTTGATTTATGATCTGTTTGGATTGTACTTATCTTACACAGAGGGTTGAAAGTGATTGTGTGGCGAGAATGTTGAGGAAGGGCAGAATGTGATCTCTGGAGAAGGCCTGGAATGGGTGAGAGGGAAATGGGCACCTATATTCTCCTTGCCCTCCCCCTCCTCAAAAGATAGCGACGGGTAAACTCCCAGGGCATGGTGAGTAGGACACTTTCATTTGTGTTTCCTTAACCTCTGCCCCCTTCCTTGGTGCCTTGAACAAAATCTGCATTTTTGTTCACTCGCTGTGCATGGGATCTTGCTGTGCACAGACTGCCTGTTGCATATTCCCGACACAACAAAGGGAGAAAGGATGTGACTCCGGAGTGACCCGCTCGCTTCAGGGGAGATGGAGTGTAATCGGGTGGGTGAATTGATGGGGGAATGCCAATGTTGAATGTCATCAGGAGATGATTGCCAGGGAATAGAAGGCGAATGACAAAGGTCTTTTCTCTAGCACGGGGGGTTCAAAACTGCGGGGCATACTTTTAAGGTCAGAGGAGAAATACTGAAAAAGACATGAGGGGTAACTTTGTTTCCACACAGAGTGGCTCACATGTGGAATAAACTTCCAGAGAAAGTGGTGGATGCGGGTAGAGGTAGAACATTGAAGAGACATTTGGATAAGTACATGAACAGGAAATGTTTGGAGGGATATGGGCCAAACGCAGGCAGGTGGGAGTAGTTTGGTTTGGGATTATGGTCGGCGCGTACTGGTTGGACCGAAGCGTCTGTTTCTGTGCTGTATGACTCTACGAGCAGCTTCTCTACAGACAAAAACTGCCATGCCCTACAGAGCAATGGCTGATGCACTGGTCCAACTGCAACAGGTGTGACAGGACTTTCAGGAGGAAATGCTGGAGCTTTCTGGCACTAACCCAGCAGAAATTATTTAAACAATGCGGAAAGGTTTATTCACCGTCAGCTAATGGTGTAAGGAAGGCCAAAGTAAAAATGACTTTACAAACATGACGCACCAGGAATATCTCTATGTACGTAAATATTTACACATGTATGTGTTCACAGTGTCCATTCAAATAGGAGTGTGTTTGTACATTTGTGTCCATGTGAGTGTGTGCA